TAAGCGATTAGTTTTCTTTGGTCTTATCAGCTCAGTTAAATCACCAGAATCTGTTTTACAGTTCTCAGGAGTGCTCAACAATTGTACCCATAAAATTTACAAAAGTAAGATATTTTATTGAAAACTGAAGTGATTAATCACTCGAGATTTCTTATTCTCATTAGATTTTTATTAATAACGAATGGCATGATGGAGAGTTACACATGACATTTCCAGTATGTGATCCAAGGACTGGTGAGGAAATTTGTCAAGTTGAAGAATCAACAAAAGTAGAAAGTTATCCAACTAACTTTGAGAGAAAGTCTAAGAAACTTTTTTTCTTGTAGGCCGATGTCGATATAACCTGTTTCTTATAGGTTTTATGGAGATAAAACAAAACGAAACCGATCTTATATATATTTGTACACCATATGCGCGATTCTGATAAAAATAGTACCGTTCCAATGATATAAATGGTCCCCCGCGTTTCTTTTCTCAGTCCTGATGAATCACTTTCGGACTTCTCGCGCATATTCATCAACGTTAGGTAAAAATTTCTTCGCTGTCTCTAGTTTCTGAAAAATTAGTTATGGTTTTATTTTTGAGTTCGGTACACTCCTACGTTTGTTTGGTCTTCTTCAGTATTTCGAATGGCACTTTTAAATAGTTTTCTGAATTTCTTTATTTTCAAACCGAAATTTTCTCTTTCTTGTTGAAATTCTTATTTTTGTAGAAACAATGTCACAAAAGAAATACTATGCCTCGAAAAAATGCCGCAATAGTATGCCTCAAAATAATGAAAAAGTTGGAAGAAATTATCATGAAAAGTCTTTTCTTGTCTTTGTATGCTATTATCGCGTCATCACCTTCGGAAGTAGCAAACAAGTAAATTTTAAACAGTTCGACATGCTCTCTCTAACCATGTATAAATTAACGCAAAATAAAATTTCGCTCGAATTACCGACACCTTAATATTCAATATCTTTATGCAGCTCATGACGACTATAGTTGATAGTCGAAAGCTTCTACACTTTTACATAAAAAGCACATGATAATGATGTTTTGAAATGGGTAGAAAACGCATGTATTTAGAAAATATACAGCTAAAGTGTTTCGGCTTACAGAACAAAATTTTATTCTAATATTAGTGTTGACAATACAACCTTAGACAAATAAAAATAAAAATCAGTTTATTAGTTGTGACTGGGACTAATGCATCATCTAAATAATTTAAACAATTTTTATCTTTCTGGTACAAACGAATCGAGAGTACCATTTGTGAACAGGTTACGGAATAGATCTTCGTTTTTACTGAATATAGCTGCAAATACATGTAATGGTAAATAACCCAATGTTCCTCCGAGACTAATATCATCTATTGGTTCGATTACACTTGTATTAAATATGGCCAATAAAACTAAATCATATTTATCATCAATATTTTCAAAATAATGAAAATAACCTTGTGGTATAAATACTAAATCACCCGTTTTAGCCTCAAATGAATCATGCTTATTTTGTGGACCAACTATAGTCCATCTTACTCGACCTAAACAATGAGAAAAAAAGTAAAAAGCAAATATTGTAATTGATCACAGAAGGAATTGTCGGAAGTTTTTCATTTCGCTATAATCCCATCGAAAAATATTTTAGTTTTTAAAATAGTTAAATCAGTTTTTAGAAAAATCGTCCATTTGAATAAACTTTTGCATTTCACGGACAAACTAACGTCCAAAATCTTGAGAGCTAAAAGAGTTTATGGCTGTGCACTTTAAATGTGGATCTGATGATTTGAATAAAAGTCTGCCTGAAACCTAGTTTCAATTCATGTTCAACCGAGGAAATACAAACGGGCCTCTACAATTTTGAGGATAGAAATTAGGTGTTAGTGCATAACTGAAACAGTCGGCCAAGCAGAGAGAATAACGATAAAAAGATTTTTTTAGCAAGAGGGAGAGAACGAAGAGTGTCTTTTTTTCTTAAAAGTTTGAATGTTTTCATCTAAAAAGTTGAAAAATTTCTTGAAAATTTTTGATGTTTTTGGAGGAATCAAAGTCTGTTTTAAATTCAAAAGTTTTTTTCTAAAAAACCAATTTTTACTCTTCAGAAAATTATTTTTCATCTCACTAGGACCAGGACCAAACAATTTTGTTCTGTCCATCTCCATCATCGACCTATTCTCGACCATTCCCAACTATGATGACTAGAAGAATTCATTTGATTAATAAATGATAACTTACCTGAAATAACATAATTAAACTCCCAGGCAATTGGATGCCAATGCGGGTTTCGGATAGCATTTGGTTTTAATATTGCGTAATAAACGGAACCAAATTGTCCTGTCAAAATCGGGAAAACCTCTTGATTTGCACCACGGAGTACTCCACCACTAAACGGAACGGGAGCTGATGACGTCAGATGGTATAAATAAGGATGCTAAATTAAAGCAAAAGACTAAAGAGTAAATATCAAAGATATATTAGCTCAGTATACTTACATTACCATAAGATAATTTGAATATAAGAACAAGAAATAGAAAAAATAACAATAATCGATTCATTTCTGAATATTAAATATGCAAATAGAAAAAAAGATACTTATTATGAGTAGGAAAAGGTAAGGACAATATTTCTCTATTGATTCCATGAAAAAAGAAGAGAGAAAAATATAAATTCATACTCTCGTTTAATTGTTTCATATTGGTAGAATAAACATTCATTTGTGTTGGAAAAGAATAAGGACATGACTTCTTCTTTTCGAACACAACTTTTTCCTAGTGTTAACAAACATTTTTTCGGTTAAAGAAGAAAACTAGGTTTTTTGCTCGTTTTTACGATATGAGATGTAATCGACCCACGCGGGAACGTTTTTAAGTACTCCCGCGCTTTTTCAACGAAACCTAGTGGGTTACAGGTTATCGATGATGCTGATTCCAAATATGAATATGAGTGCTGCCTTTAGGGCTAAGTCTTTCAGAGTATCTGAAAAACTGGTATTCATCTTATTACTGATATTTCTTCGCAACGAAATCACCTGTAAACTTCAGAGTTTCGCTGAAATGTTGCAAATTTATTGTAGTTTGTTTGCTTAAAATAGAAAGTGCTCATGTCATATAGTCATTGTGCTGGGTCAGGCAGAGTGAGATGGACGACTTTCTCTGTTCAAGAATCATATAGTTCGACTGTTTAATTTTTACATAGTAGACTTTGGTGTCAATTTGACAAAACCAGCGTATTTCGTGCAGTTTTTCTCTCTCTTTTGACTCATGTGTAGTGCAGAATTTTAAAGCAAAGAGCAGAGAAAATGGAAACAAAATACAAAACAGTGCTTTTTTCCCTTTTTCTTGATATTCTTTTGTAATGCTTCGCGTAAAAAGTTCATATTTTCATCAGAAAAGATTTTTGGTATTTCAACTTATGCTCATTCGATTCTCCACACAAAACTATAAAGGCAGTCAAGTTTACTAACCTTGAAAACGTTTCCTCTTCAAAATATGAATTTTGAAGGATTGCAAAAAAATATCAAGAAAAAAAGAACTGTTTTGTATTTCGTTTCCATTTTTTCCGCTCTTTGATTTAATTTTGCAACATTTTAGTGAAACTCTGAACTTTACAGGTGATTTTGTTGCGGAGAAATATCAATCATGAGTCAATATGAGGGGTGTATAATCAATTTTGTTGACCGCTGTATGTTTTTGATAATAAACAACAACGATAAGTTCTAATAGCTGTTTCGGGGATAGTATTTCTGTTGTAACATTGTTTCTGCAACAATAAGAATTTCAACAAGTAAGAGAAAATTTCAGTTTGAAAACTGGCACGGTTTGTACGATATCGGATGAAGATGGCTAGAAGCGAACTAACAAAGTCTATGCGTACTAGCAAAAATATTTCTGATTTTTTTGTTCAATATGGTAATCTGCTCAACATTTTAGCGGTTACCGTTAGCACGTAACGGTTTCCT